CCAGTCTGAATCCAGCAGCAGCAGGTTCTCTTCGGGGGTCTGAATCTGCTTGCCAACTTTATTTATTTTTTTGGCAATGTGAAATTCCCCCAATTGGTATTCATTCGGCATTTGGCCATAATCTCAGGTCGTGAGACAGTCGTTTCGCAGTCAATATATTTTCGTGTCATGTCAAGCATTCTACCGAAGAAATAGTTCAATGCTGGTTAAATGGTGTCACCTTAAATAAGTGTGGGCGACATTTAAAAGAGGTTATAGACACGAAACAAAGTCTGATTTGGCCTAGAGAGTTCGTTGTTCGAAAGATGAGACATCACTTTGTCCATGAATAAGTGATAATAACTGGTTTGCAGAGATGGGGAGAAAGAGTTCCCAAAGCTATTCCTATAATGAGATGAAACCGCAAGCGAAGATTTGGTAAACAAATTCACTAGTTTCTAAATAAATTTGATGTGGAGTCATTATCATATATAGAAGTAAATAAAAATAATTTTTTTAACTAAATATAAATGGAATTCTGGTTAAAAAAGATTATTTTATTTTTTATATCTTAAGAATTTCTTGTTGGTTATTCTTAATAATTTTAATTACTCCTTGTAATATATCAGCTGATTAATTTATAGAGTTATTAATACCCAAGCGATATTCAGATTTCCTTGCAAACTGATTCAATGTATATTCCCAATAAACCACATTTGCAATGCAGTTGCTTACTTTTCCATTTGCAGATTAACTAAAAATACATACATATTTCTGCTCTTCGATATGAAGACTTTTCTTTCATTACTGATTAAACACGATTCCAAGCAACCGGCCACGACCAACGACCGCAGATCGTACGTGGTTACGATTTAATTCTAAACAAATCACGTTTTGGGGGCTGCGATGGGGAGGCGCAAATGTCCGAAAACCCGAAGACCCCTGCCAAGGCCATCTAATCCGCGTGTCGTCTTCAGTTTATTACCATTATTTTTCCACTTATTAGCAGACTTTTTTCCTTGGCTTTTCTATCATGAAAAAGGTGGCATGCAACAGGCGACAGTTGATGACAGTTGGAAAGTGCTCATATATTTATGTATTTTCGCGCCCAGATTTCATCTCTAATCTACGCTGCTCTCTCTCTAAGCAGTTGTACAATAAATTAAATAGACCAAAAAAATTAATGAAATACAGAAGAAGAAGTGGAGATTTCGTCAGCTGAAATGGTAACGATAATTAAAGTTTTGCATTACAGCAGCTGGCGGTGATTAATGGGCATTGTTTCGCATACGCCCCGTTGCCTCAGCCCGAAAAACAACAGAAAAACTACTACTAGGCAGAAATTAAAATGAAAACGAAATCAGGCGAAGGAAAATCAGCCACTTAATGCAAATTACAGAGACAGATACAAAGATGCGGAGATACAGCGGCAAGTGTGTCTGCTATGGAAATGAAGTTGCCACATGTGGTGCCTCCGCCTCATAAACAGTAACAGTCCCAGATCCCAGATCGCAGGCACACCACCTCGACGCAAATGATAATGATGATGATGATGATCCGCTCAAGTACAAAGCGGTTGCGCTGACAAGCCCATGTTTGGGCGTTGAGTTCGTTTTTAAGCTCTTTTTTTGCACTCACTCCACTTGCTGTTTTTCGCATTGCATTGAATGGAAGTCGAAATGGAAATGAAAAATGAAAAGGAAAACGAAAACCAGGTTTGCAGGTCGCCTGATATTTTTGAGTTTTTCATGCGCGCCGAAACTTTGCGAAATGTTAAAATTCCTTTCAACTCTCTGTGCAAGTGGCACATATTTCATGATGGTTCTTTTTAACCCCCTGAAAAGTCGTGAGAAATAGGTGTTTATTAATGATAATTAAGAGATTTTTAAATTTATTTATTTATCTAAAGCCAATTATTAGGCATAAACTAAGAGCTAATGTAGATTAAGAGTTAATTAAGAGATACATTTAAAAACCATGTCTAAGTGCTACACAAATTTCTTTATTATACCCTTGCAGGGTATTATAATTTCAGTCAGAAGTTTGCAACGCAGTGAAGGAGACGTTTCCGACCCTATAAAGTATATATATTCTTGATCAGCATCAACAGCCGAGTCGATCTAGCCATGTCTGTCTGTCCGTCTGTCCGTCCGTCTGTCCGTCTGTCCGTCCGTCTGTCCGTCTGTCCGTTTCTACGCAAACTTGTCCCTCAGTTTTAAAGCTATCTCAATGAAACTTTGCATATAGTCTTCTATATACTCTCACTGCTATATATGTCGGAACGGGCCGGATCGGACGACTATATCATATAGCTGCCATACAAATGTTCGATATATTTTTAGAAAAAAAATTATAACTTTGTTGTTTTTCAACATTTTGGCACCATTTTTTAGATATGACCATTTTATATTATTTCTGAATTTTGATAAAAATTTTATGAAAATCGGACGACTATATCATATAGCTGCCATAGGAACGATCGGGAAATTAATAGAAAAAAAATTATATATTCGTTGTTTTTCAACGTATTTTCATCTACTCCGGGATATAAGCTTATTTTATTATTCTAGAATTTTGGTATAAATTTCAAAAAAATCGGACAACTATATCATATAGCTGCCATATAAACCGATCGGTAGATGTATACAAAATGTAAAGCTGGGAATGCAAAACTGTAACTGTCAAACTGTAAACATAATAAGTATAGGTAAAATGTAATGAAATAATATCTGCAAGGGTATACAAACTTCGGCGTGCCGAAGTTAGCTTCCTTTCTTGTTTTTAAATTGTTAATGGTTTAAAAACCATATTCCTTTTAAAGTTATTTGTAACCTGAGAAAATCTAGGTTTTTATTTGAATTTAAATACTTACTTATTGTTCAACTTTTATTTAGTTTTATTTTTTCAAATACAAATACTATTAAAAATGTTCAATGCATTGACTTTCCACAAAGTAATATTTGATATTTAAGTCACCGAAATTTTATTAAATTCCATAAAAGATATAAAGTATTTAATTGTGTTTTTATAAATGATTTCTTTATATTTTATGTAAATTCAGACTTAGTTATTGTATATTTTATATAATGTTAATTTTTAATACTGTTAATTTATGATAATAAAGTGCATAAGGTGGAACTTAGAGTTTTGCTAAATAATTACATCTTACATAAGGTAAATATACGTATTAATTATCATAAAAATAAGTTTATAATCTTCATAGATTAAAAAAAAGAATGTAATTCCCAAAATGTTCCTTTATAATAACTTAGTTTATAATTTTGTAATTTAAGTATTTTTTAAACTAAACAAATAATATTATCCCATTGATGCTTATTTCTTTCATTTTTTACTTTTCCCATACAATTTTATTTTATTATTATTTATATTTGAATGTCCAACAAAGGGTTAAGCTGTTAATGTCTGTTAACAGCGACGAATGGTCACCCCAATGGTAGGCCATCCCACTCGCACACGCACACACCAGTCAACAGCCGTTAAATTTTTGACGTGTTTTTGCTTTGCCGCAGCGCTGCTCGTAGTTTGTGTTTTGTTTATTTGCCTTTGTTTACTTTTTTTGTTTTTTCCTTTTTTTGCTTTTTGCTGTTCCCAGTGGGTTTGAGTTTCAGTTTCTGTTTTTGTTCCGCCTCTTTTCGACTCTTTTGAACTTGGACAAGAACTGGTATTGAATTTCGAAATCGAACTCGAACTCGAACCCGAAGCGACATCTGTTAGTGCTTCGTGCTGATTGATTGAACGATTGAAAGACGCTTGCGGGCGTGCAGTCTCCGAAGAATCACGCGTTCTTCTGGCTCCCAAAACCTGTTTCCGCTTCCCAGGCGCCTCAATGAGTGATTTATCTCGGATCTCGGCATCTCGACATCGGCAGACTCTGCAGAATGGTAAAAGCTGCCAAATCAATTAGAGGCGCTGCGACTTAATTAAAATTTGTTTGCCTAATTAAAGGCCACCATCATTTCCACAAGTCAATGTGAACGAACGCGCGCACAAGCGATTCTTTGTGGCCGATTCTTCTGGCTGGCTTCACTTAGAGCTCTAGCTCCAACTTCAGCTTCAGTTCTCCGCTTTTGTGGGTCGCATGCCTCTGGAGAAATGCATTTTGCAGTCGAAGAAAAGTAAAATAAAACCGAAACAGAACAAGAAAGAGAACCAGAAACAGACACAGACACAGAATCAGAACAAAATGCAGCGCCAAAAGCCAATGCACAAGAATGTGAGACAAACTCCAACCATCCAAGATCCACGATCTTCAACTAAAGTTGCAGCACACTGCTAAAAACGTAGTTTTTTGATTCATTATAAAACTGTTTTTCATTTTTAAATTTATTTTTATTCTGAAAAGTTATTTAAAAACATAAAGAAACAGCAAACAACATTAAGGAACATTTAAATAATACGAAAAGTGGGCACCTTTTTGTTTTAATAATTTGGATACCATTTCAAATAGCATGTATTATATTTTTGTTTTAATAAAATCTAAAATATTGAATCATATTTTAAGTTTTAATCGTTTATTTTCTTGTTTTTAAGATCTTTAATTAACCGAAGATCAGTTATAGAATGTTTTAAATTTAAAATCCCTAACAGAACAATATGAATTACAAATATCTAAAGGGTTCCTTAAAATAGATACAAATTTAATAGAATAATATTAATTATTCTGAAATAAAAAATTCCCGAAAATTATTTAAAGTTTGATAGAATAACAACAGTTGTTTATAAATAATAAAACATTTAATTTGATCAATAAAAATAATTAAAAAGCTTAAAATAGATCCTCAAAATATTTATTCAGTTAAAAACCTTTAGGTAGTAAGCTTAACCTTGGAAGCACCTACCAACATTTTGCCTAATTTTTCCCAGTGCAGTAACAGCTTTTGGAATAGCAGCAGCAACAATAACAGCCAAAGCAGCAGCAGCAGCAACTCACAGCAACAGCAGCGGCAGCAACGTCGACGGCGGCAGCAACTCACGTCAGTTGCTTTGCGGTCGTCGTTCGTTGGAGACGTTTGGAGTTGCTCAGTTGCTCGGTTTCTTGGGATTATTTCACATATTTCCCATTGGCACTCCTCGGCGCGTGTTATTCAGTGTTTTGTTTGTGTTACCCAGCTCGCGTTGCCCCTAGAAATATTTGAAATATCGCGCAATGGCCGCTTGCAGTGTGCAGAATTGAATCCGCGGCGGATATCTCGGGCACTCCGGCTCTACGGATTCCGGAATTTTGTGCAAGTTCTTTGGGGCCAGAGTGAAATGAAAGCTGGCAAAAGTGAAACGCCCACAAGAAAATCGGCGAGGTGCTGTTGCTGCTGCTGCTCTTGAAAGAATCTAGCCAAACCACTTGGCCAATTCCACATACATACACGACACTCACTCACACACTGCCAACAAATTGGTAGAAGCGAAATTTCACCCAAGAACAGGCTCCAAAATCTTCGATAGCCTGGCTAATACTTTGATTTCCGTTGGGATTAAATCGAGCTATCGCTAGCTTTTGATGGTAATTAAACGAATTTAATGTTCTTAGCAGGATTGGTAGATCAATATCTATGGGGAATGGCTTTAACTTTAAGTTTTTTGAAAGCCAGCTTGAGATGTGAATTGAAAATATATTCGAAAAAGTATTAAGCTTAAAAACATCATATTTCCATGATTAAATGTAAACATAATCTAAACTGAGGGTTTATCTAAGATATTGTTAAAAAGTTTCATTGGGTTTAAAATATCAGGACTTAAAATATAAATACTCTTTTTATTGTTAAATTTTTGGGACATTTGTTTTCTCTAATAAAGTCCTACAATATGCTTAATGTAACTTTTTGTTGATTCTATAAAAGCTTAAGTAGAATAGAAGTTTCCTAAGGTTTTCAGGCCTAAAAATCTTTTCATTTAGTGCTCTCCTAGCTTTTAACGATTTTATCATTTAATTTTTATTAATATTTTAATAGTTTTTTTTTGTGATTTGGGAGAGTATTTAAAAAAACCATAAAACCTATAATTTTTCACCCGACTTTGACAACTTTTGCTGGCAATTAAACGAAATCATAATTTTACGCTTGCTTTTTAGCGAATTTCTTCCATGACTTAACCGTAAACTCGGCTGACTTTTGTCGCCGTTTTGCTTCGCACACACACGGCACATGGATTGGCCTCCGAACTGACCTCTACGGTGGCTTCTGTGACTTTTTGAGACTTCCACGACTTCCACGACTCAACGACTCGCAGCATGTCATGCCGGATTCCCCGCTTACGGTTTCAAGAATTACGGTTAAGAATCCGCCGTGTGTGTGCTAGCATGTATCTGTGTTGTTCGGGGTTCCATTAGCTTCACTTTGCCAATGTTGCACGCTAATTATACGCCTCTGTGCCTTACGCGGCTATAGCCAGACTTAGTCGCCGATTCAGAGTCGAAGGCAGACTTGGACTCGAGCTTAGATTCGAAAAGAACAGGGAGAAAATATGGGTATATTTTCAAGAACATTAAATAAGCGATGATTAGGCTTGATCTAAGTATAAAGTTTGTTAAAGATACATATTACCTAAAAATTTTTATTAAGAGTAGACACCTTTAAAAAGAATATTTTAAATTTTCAGTTAGTTACTCCCTCTCTAAGATTTCCCCCAGTGCAGCTCCAGTCTAAGCCTTAGGTCTAGCGTCTAGCTCTGGTTGCGGTTCTTTGGCTCTGAGGCAACGGAGCTTGGAATGCAGTTAATGCTCGTTTGCATGCACAAATAACAGCTGGTTTTAGCTGCTCTGTGTGCTGAATAACTTGCCCCCAAACAGATTCCATCAAATTTCCCTCAATTTTGCCATCCGATAAGCCCCTGACTCATACTGTAATCAGTCGAGTGATAAGCAGCTTGGAATAAATATACAGAAATTGTGTCACTTGAGCTGTGAGCATCAGTTTAACAAATTCAATTTAGCTTACATCCCGGCTCAGGCCGAAGAGCAACAAAGCATGAATAATGCAAGTATACATACATATATGATATGGTAAATAGGAACTACCCTTTGCGAGGTGGTGAAAACAAACTACTTGTATATCGACCCATCGGCTTTGTTTACCATATATAAAGCATACGCAACGTGGCCCGATGGGGTGTATTAACGCTTAGGGGTTGCTGCTAGCCAGGTTTCGGTTAGACCTTTCAGTTGGCTAAGGGCTGCACGGGCTGTTCGTCACGGCAACGTGGCCAAAACAAAACAAAGGGGTTAGTTAGTCTGTAGTCTAGACCAGAAAAAACGGTGGCCAGTCAACAATATTTGGCCAGTCGAAGGTCCTTGTGTCCCCAGAGTGTGTGTTTCTGCGGTGATGTAAACTCTGAAATAAAAGAATTGTGCAACCTTAAAGTAAGACCAGAACTATTTCACATTTTTCACAAACTCCATTAGACGTCAACAGCATCTCTAAATCATTGCCCCCCAGACAGTTCATTAGCTCTGAAAAAATACAAAAAACAAAAAAACTCTGACAAAAAAGAAAAGTAAACTTTCACATTTCTAATGGCGGCTTTTGTTGCTTTTTTCTTATGTTTTCTGTTCATCTGAATGCTATGCAAAATGGCAATAAATTTTCTTTGATTTAATTTCTCGAAATTAAAATATTTCTGTCTGCGAACAGATTATTTCATTCCATTTGCCATCGTCTTCCGCATTCAGAGAGCCAAAGATTAGTAGGCTAGAGGTGCGTGTCTAATCTGCGGATTCTTGGCTTAAAGTCAGCTGCTGCGGCATTATCACTTTCACTCTACTTCAGTCCCTGGAAAAGCTCTCTTTTCTTTCCGCGCCCTCGGAAATTATGACCAGTTCATTGTGACAAGTCAAACAATAAAAGAAATCAAACAAAACGCATCCGTTTTGAAAGCCATTTGCATACCTATAGATATAGGCATTGAGATATATATAAAGGTTTATCTTCATAATAAATGTACGGCAGGTGCAGCTGCAGCACATGCAGCTTAGCCTAAAAAACTGCAGCTCATCAAGTTTCTTTTTTTATTTCGCCTTTTCTTTGCCTCGAGATGAGGTTGATTTTTGTATTGTCGAGGTGTCTCTCGTCTTGCTGTCAATTGTTTACATTTTCCTTTTCGGTTTTTTTTTTAGCCGCGACTCTGTCTGAGGCTGCTTAATATGCAAAACATTTTTATTGACCAGGCCAAAAAGCGGTTGACCGCCTCACAGCTGGAATGGCCTTAGAGTCCGCTCTCTATAAAAGGCATTGGAATTATCATTCTGTGGCGACTGAAACCGAAATCTAATATATTTATGGCTCTTTAGGGGATGTTTTGCGGATTCTTTGATAATTGATTGGGAATTAAATTAAATTAAAGTAATTTAAAGCTGTTAAAAATAGTCATAACATGGCTTTTATATTTATGCAACTTTATAATAGACTTTTAAAATATTTTCTTAAATGTTTTGAAACTTAATTTGAAAATACTAGAACTCTTCCATCTTAATTCTCAAAAAATCGTATATTGTTATTTCAATTATCATTTTCCTAATTGTCTTCCAAACAATTATCACTTTCCCGTAGCTCACACTACTTATTACTTAGCTCTGTTAATTGATTTGTCAAAAATATAATTGCGTTTCATAAGTAATAAATCATTTTGTGGCCTTCCTCAATTAAATCACTGAAATATCCAACAAATATTTGCTGCAGAGTTGCCAGGGGAGAAGAGCCAGCTGGCATGGCTTCTCCTTTGGAAATCCCCATTTTGGCGGCCAGTTTGCTTTCCGCCTTGCAATTGACAAATAATCACCAATAAAAAATTCCATTCCATCCAAACAAGACATTTTATGTAAACACGCTTTTTCGCCAACACTTTCCTCTAATAAACAAAATATGCTCAACGAAAGAGGTTTTGCGTAATCAGCAGCTTTAGCTTCTTTATTTACATTGGACGCGGATCGTGCGTATATAATATATACTATTTTTCTGTTCAAAAACCTTTCTGCAATGGCAAATAAAAATTAACTTTGTTATTCTTGCCGCGTGCGAAGTAGCAAAAAAAAAGTGACAACTAGAAACAACATATGGTTATACCTGGCCATATATCCAAACAAAAAGGTACATACAAAGAGCAATATGGGGGACAGAAATATGTGGAAAAAGATGAAGATGAAGACGGCTAACGAACTGACTGAAAGCTGCTTAAAACCATTTTACGATACCTCAGACGATGTGAGGCAGAAGAAATTGTTTTCGCCGACGCTCCAGTCGCTCGCTCGCTCGCCTTTATGTAATCGCTCATTATAATTGGCATTTGTCTGTGACAAAGACACGTGAACGGGCGGGTAAATAATTGTCAGGTGCGAGGAGGCGGTAAGACAATATTGTGGGCCTCGGTTTGTGCAATGCCATATCGTCACATAGCCCACATCGATCGCCCCAGCGATAAGCCAGGGCGCATTCATACCGCATCAAGCATACGCAATGTTGTACGAACCTGCGGTCGGTTGCCATGATTTCTCACTCAGCGAATGAGACTTCCTTGAGGCGACAGTTTTGTAATACATATATACAATAAGTAGTCAGTTTGGGCAATCTAATGGGCCATGAGTCAAAAATCGAAAAGAGGCTTAAAATACCTGTGCAGATTACACGATTTATAAAGAGCTTTTGCCTTCACAGGTAGCTGTGGAAATTGTTTAATGAAAAGAACAAACCAACCTGTATAAATACAGTGTTTTTCCCCTTTTTTTAGAATTTTATTTAATTTATTTGTTTTTTTTACCTTTATTTATGATTTACTTATCTTAAAGTTAATTTTATTTTCATTTTTAACTGAATAACCTTCAATACTGTGTTTTTTATACAAACCACAAAATGTGTTTTGGTTATTCTTTATTTTATATATTTTTTTCTATCATAGAAGCACTGCATAGCCTCTAAAAAATATTACTAAATATTTAAGAACCCTTAATTGCTAATTTAAAACTATTATCTTTCTCTGGGATACTATATATTATAATTTACTTAAGCTGTTAAATGGTTTTAAATATTCATAAAACATTGAAAAAGATATGTTTTATGTCTTAAAAATTCTACTTAGACGTTCGAAAATATTAGTACAATTAAAAAATTACTTATTAGATGTTTTGAAGAGTTTAAACTATTATCAAAAATCATATTACAAATCCTTAAAGCAGTTTTAACAGTTTTAAATGCTCATAAAATGTAGAACAATTTATTTATTATATTTTAAAAGCATTGCTTAACCTTCAGAAAATATTATAAAATTAAAAACAACTAATTGGTGATTTTATACACTTACCAACTTCTCGGAAAACCTTATAATTAAATACACATATTTAGCCCTTATCCTTCATAAATTAATATTAAATTTAAAGCTAAAAATTTTCACAATTTTAAATAAATAAAAACCTTATCAATTTCTTGGAAAATAAAAATCACTTGAATTCTTTTCCAATTATAATATTTATCTTAGATGGTCTGAATTACGAATATTTATTATTACACATTCTCGCCTGAGGCCAGATAAGCGTTCAGCTTTCTGCAGCAGTTCTTTGTCTTTAAGCTGTTTTACAATATATACATATATACCATGAATAATGCAGCTAACCCATTAAAAAATAACAAAAAAAAAGTAGAGCTAGCCTTGTCAAATTATATTTAATAACAAATAAGTGTTCTTAGCCCCCACCCTGTGGTTCTCTTAAAGTGTGCCAATTCCAGAACTCGTAGAGAAACCCCGACAATAAATTCCTCAACCAGCTTATCGCATATAATTGCTGCGATGAGCCACGCCCTGAAAAATAAATGCGCCTCCATTAATTGCCGGCACCCAATTTGCATTTTGCTTGAACAAGATTTTCACGAGCTTTCTCTTCCACTCTCGCTCCAGGGGCAACATCATCACCATCACCATCTTCGCTGGCCGAGAACGTGATCGCCTTCAGGCCGAGATCGGAGTGAGCCAGCGCCGTCATGGCGATGTCACCTGTCTTGGATGCGGCAGCCATTGCCGCTCGCCGTGATCTCAATGGGAATAAGACGGCAGCATCAACACGAACGCGCTCTGGAGCCTCATCGGCTACGAATTCGCCGCGTAAATCGAAAAAGACTATAATTAATTGGCTGGTGAACAGCAGTGGCAACAGCAGTGCTGATAGTGAAAACAATAATCCCAAAGCAAATACCAATCCGAATCCGAATCCAAATCAAAATCCGAGCGCGAATCAAAATTGCAGCTGTGAATCGCGCGCCTTTCGCGATTTCCGCGGTGTGCAAACTCTGCGTTTGCTGTGGAGCAAGCGCATCAAGAGTGCCAGCGAGGAAGCCTCTGGCCCCGGCACCCACTCCCACTACCACTCCAACTCCTCCTCCTCGCTGGGCACCTTGAAGAAGCTGAACAAGAGCGTCAGCTGTCTGGTGAACGCCTTCAACAACTCAAGGGATTGTGGAACACCGGAAAAATCGTTGGCCAAACGCGCCGCCAGTTTGCATAATCTTCAGGAAACAAACACCAGAAATCTTCAGCTGCAAAGGGAAAAGGATAATTTCTACAAGTACAAGAACGCCGAGCAGGCCAGGATGCGGGCCAAAATGAGGAGCGACCACAGTGAGGCCAGTGAAAAACGTTTAAAAAGTGACGACAGCACCAGCTCACCTGCCATGGCAGTCTTATCAGCTGCAGATAAGGTGGAACCAGAGGTGGAGGAGGTGGCAGTGGAGAATGAAGAGGAGGAGGAGGAGCAGGTCGAACTGCGGGCCAAGCAAGAGCGTAATAGCGGCGAGCATTTCAGTCTCAGCGCGGCGAGCGCCCTTAACGGCGGCGGCGGCAGTAGCGATTCTGTGAACACCGCCCACTCTCGCGCCTCCCCCTCAATCTCTTCCAGCGTCACAGCGACGTCATCGGGCACAGGCCGTTCCGGGGGTCGACGCAAATATAGCTTTAAAACGCACGCCGGCAAGTCATATCTCCAGCACCATCACTCATCGCGACGGATTAGCAGCATGGAGTTGACGCACAGCTCCAGCTCTGGCGGCGGCGGCGGCGGTGGCATCAGTCTGGTGGCCAAACTGACGCAGCAGTTTAACGAGATCATCCAGAAGGATGCCCGACTCCTGGAGCAGGTCAAGCGGAACAATGGCGTGTGGCTGTCACGCGGCACTCATGTCTACAAGATTGTGGAAAAGCAACCCGCCGCCGAGTCCAGCGAGGAGGGTAGCCGCATCTCCATGGTTCAGCGAAATATCAAAAAGTTTGAAAAGCTGGAGAAGCCCAGTGTACCGCTAAAGAGCGAGCAGTTAATGCGGAAGCACCAAGAACTGATGGCAAGTGGAGGCAGTGCCAGAGGGAGCACACTTTCGCGGGGTCCTCGGACCAAGAGGAATCTCAAGCTGCCGCCGGGAAGTCCAGGTATTCCCGAACTGGCAGTGGTCAGTGAGGAGGTCAAGACCCCCAAGGAACCAGCTAAGCAACCAAAGTTAAGCCCCACAGAGCCACTGCCCGATGAGCATCAAGAAGCTAATGCTGAGAAGCTGCGAGATGAGCTGAACTTTGTTGCAGGCGAGACAGAAGAGGAGGAGGATCAGCGTCAAAAGCAAAGGAAGCACAAGTATGCCACAATCTATGAGAAACTGCGGTTTACCTTTGCCAAGGGCAAGAAGTCAGCTAGTCCCTCACCCACGAAAGGAAGATCAAAGGAGGAGGTGTCCCTGGAAGAGGAAGATGTTTCTAAAGAGGAAGCTGTCAGGGAGGAACTTCCCAAAGAAAGATCACTCAAAGAAGAAGCTCCAAGAGAAACAGAGCTAAGGTTAAACATACCCAAGGAAGAGGTTCCAAAGAACGAGGAAATTCCCAAGGATGAACCTCCCAATGAGGCCATTCCAAGTACCCTAGAGGACCCCTCACCTGTTCTTCCCCTGCCCCCCTGCATTGATGCCGATTCCAAAATTCTGGACGCCCTCGAGGCTGTGGACGATAAGCTTAAGGTGCTCAATCCCCCAAGTGATGTGTCCGCCCAGGATGGCGAACTCCTACTAGGAGCCAACAATGACTTCGAGCAGCGCATCCTGCCCAACAATTCCTTCGTCTATCAGGCGGCTAACAAGCAGATCTCCAACAATCAGATCCTGCTTAACCAGGCAGTGAATGTCACCCTGGTCAATGCCATCGAGGGCGAGCAGATGATCATGGAGCAGAAGCAGCTGATGAAGGACAAGGCAGCGGGGCTCAAGGGGGAGCAGAAGAAAGAGGAGCTGCCGGAACCCGAATCCATCTACGAACCCATCACACCCATTGGCAGTGAAACCAAGACTGAAATCCTGACCTCCAGCCTCTTCAAGATAGTCGCTCAAAAGTCGGAGATTGTGGAGGACATATACCAAACCGTGGAGGAGACAACCAAAACCAAAACCACTGCCAAGCCCAAGCTGAACATCTGGCTGGAGGGCTACGAGTCTATTGCCGGCTCCCAGGAGTCATCTCCTCTAGCCTTTGATGGCTACGAGTGCATTGGCCAGGAGGAGATGGCCAGTACGCCCATAATCCTAGGAACTGGCACCTTGGGCCGCAATACTCGCGATGAGCTCCCAGAGCTTCCCATGAGAGTGCTGCCAAAATCAGCGACGCCTCTGCGACCCGCTCCTCCCAAGCCGGGGGCCAAGGAATCCGAGGAGGATGAGAACATCTACGACACCATCAAGGGCTGCTACGAGTCCATGCACTGCAAGACCTCCTCCTCGTCCTCATCCAGTGGCGGAGCTACCATCACCACAGATGCCATTTCCCTGGGCTCCAATTGCTACGAGAGCATCGCGCATTTCCGCAAGGCTAAGATGGCCACGGGACAGAACCAGGGATCCGCGGGCAGCTGCATCCAACTTTCGAGCAGTGGCTCTACTCTAACCATCTCCTCGGACCACAAGACCAACAGCCTGTACGAGTCCTCGCTGGCGGCCAACGGTTGCGTGGTCTATGGGAGTGCCAGTGTGGGTTGCCGTTCCTCTGTGGGCAGCAGTGCCGGAAGTCGGGACAGCGGCAAGCCAGGCGATAAGAGATCCTCCATAGCGGGCTCGAGCGACAACAGCGATGCCTGGGTGGACATTTCGGACGGCGAGCATGGACATACGAGGGTGGAGCTGGCCACCGAGGCTCAGTTTATTGTGTAAGTACAATTCTTAGACTTATATTTTAATGGGAAGTTTTAGTTTAGGATTAATAAAAAGAAGGAATTTAATTAAAAGGTGAGGTTTCTGAATGCTGAATTTATATTTTTCGAACAGATAAGCTATCAATGTAATCTTGTGTTTACTATTTGCAACACATTTTGTGTGATTTCCACCTTTTTTTTTAATTTCTTGTTTATTTCTGTTCTATAAAGGCTAATTTATAATATATTTCAAGTGCTGATTGCGTTTTAATAGGGTAAACATTTAATATATAATATATATCAACACTTAACACTTGCAATAGTTAACTTTAAATGCTTATTTTTAATAAAAACTTGGCGGAGGCGTAACCTCTACGAATTAAATGTATATAGTAATCTCTTACATAGCTCAGTTTGAAGTAACATGGAGAAATTATCGCAATACATATTGTTATTTTCCTGTACAGCGGAACTGCAATTCCCCTTCAACGCCTTTTATATAAATTCTGCGTATATTGCTTATCAGTTTGTTTGGGTTTCGCCTTATCTTATCGCCCTGGGCCAAGACAAGAACCGCAGGGGTTCCGACCGGCTCAATTGCTGTTGCCGTCAATAAATGGTGCAACATCGGTGTTTAAATACATATATATATCAAGTATGTATATATTTAAGCCCATAGCTAAAGGTTGACCCCAAAAAACTATACTGAAATGCAGGTCAAGGTGGCTGGAGTTGAGCTCTTGACTTTTTTAGTGGCATTACCTAAGCGATTTTTAAAAGCAACAAAGAATAATTAGTATAGAACAAATAACATAAATATATTTTGTTTCTATACAGTAAGAAAGGGTTACTTAGTCACTCTGTTATTTTTCATTTGCATAATCTCATTTATAAAAAAAAAAAACCGAGCAGATAAACTCTACTACGACGTCAGAGAAACCAAAACAAAACGAAATTGCTGTAAGTAAGCGAAAAAAGAAACTACAAATAATATACATATATTAGAGAATATATATCAAATCTATAGAAAATTTCTTGCTCATTTGTCAAACAAACTCTGGCATAATTTCAACAAATTAAGAACTATTTAATAATCATTTACTTAATTAGTAAAATGTCACGCTCTGCTCTGTTCCATTTCTTTTTCATTAATTTTGTTAAGTTGCAACACTCAGCCGGATGGTTGATTGGAACTCTTCAGAGCGCCAACTCTTTCCCCCTACTAATTAGACCACTGACCTACAATTTGCTACGTTATCAGTCGATAAGATTGACTGACTCTGACGGGCCTCTTGAGGGAAACCCTAGAAATTCTGAGAGTCTAGAGGCAATCCAAGCACTCTTGCCAGTCAGCACCCAGCATGGTTGGAGGAACCACATCAGAGGGCTCTTGCCAGTTTGATCGATCGGTTTTGGGGGGAATCATGAAGTACTTAACCGCAACTATTTTAAGTCAATTAAATCAGCCTTAAGTAGTGAACGATTTGGTGTAAATATCTTTGCCCTTGGTCACTTTCAGTGTTCGGGAACGGTTTAAGCCGCATCGCACACGCAGCCCAGATTGGTCGAAACGCATCAGAGACAAAAGACTGCAGAAGAAGGCGATAAGCTGCATTGAGGGTGAGTAATATCCATAAATAGAGTATAAATATACAGAATGAAACAATAGTTAAAGCTATAAGATAAGCCTAAATAGTTTAAAGAACCTAAGAAAGTGCTTACTAGGAAATGGGGCGATTGTATGCTATTATTAGCTTATAAATAAGACAATAGGTATTTTAAGATTGATTTTGCAAAATTTATAGCTAAATATTGTTTATTTTGCATTTTGTATTTATATAATTCGAATTTTTTAACAGTTTTTAATTATTGTTCGGCGAATTGTACAAAATCGTAGTTCTTTACCTTGGATATAAGACATAAAATAAGACTTAAGATTAGATTAACATTTCAATACATTTAATGAAGCAACATATAATTTAAATAATAAGCTTCACAAAATTCCAAACCAAATTCCACATATTACGTATACGCATTACGTATTTTAATTCGAAAATATTACGTATACCTTACGTTGTCCAGCTTATAATCCAAAAGTTCGCCTTTATGCGATCGCTTGGTTCGTGTCTGCGCTAAGCTTTGCCATCCACAAGTGTAACTGTCTGTTGAGTGTGGACCCTGAGTCTGTGACTTTGGCGAGCAAACCCCCAATAATTATCAACTGTTTAATTGCTGCGAGCGCCGCTAGCTACTTTGCCTTTTGATAAATATGCATAAATGGTAGCCGTAGCCCAAAGAAAATGCCAAAAGTGAAGCGGAACCCGTAGTGATTAACAAGGCGAGCAGCTAGCAGAGCGTTTAATTAGCCGAGCAACCTTTTTTTTGTACAAATGAGAGTGAGAGTGAAGTAAGCCCAGCTTACGGAGAGCGGAGAGGTAGTGAGACAGGTTCCACACAATGCCCATAAAGTGGACGCAACGTGCAATTTGCTCATTGTTGTTGTTGCCGCAGCAGCATGCTCCCGCTCTCCGTGGGGATCCGTGTGGATCCCACCTCTCATTCGGTAAAACGCGCTCCACTCGAACGGTCCGAAAAACTCGGCGGACTGTTAAAACAGAATTTGTGTGATAAATGTGAATATCGGTGTGCATAATTAATGATGTTGCTCTAATAATAATCTGTGAAAAATAAACAAAAGAAGGCGAAATGAAATTAAATGAAACAAGAGCATTAACAAAGCTCTCAGAAAACACAGAGAGAGGGAGAGAGATTGAGAGCCAGTGCAGTTTGCAGTTACAAGTTTTTAGTGTGCTTTGTTTGTGCTTACTTATGTGGAGACGTCACGAACTGAAACCGATGCCGATGATTTTATTGTTGCCCTTCCACCATCCACACCCAACCCCCCGCATCAACCCCTCTCTGAATTATTGTTGCTTTTGTTTGTGGCGATGACGAAATTGTTTAGCGAAAACGAAAACCAGTCTAGAAACATAAAACGCCAGCCAACAGCTCACAGGGCAACCTTGAAGAAGTCTTAACGAAACACAAAGCAAAACAAGGGAAAAAGCGTACAGATAACCGTTGTACATCCAAAGGAATCGCGCGATTTGCCAATTTACCAATTTACCAATTCGGCGGATGACTTTTGCAAAAATAGTTGTAACTAGCACGAAAAAAAAACTCCCCTCTTCATAATGGGCAACTATTGCAACAAAAGTTTACAGACTTTGTGCAATGTGCAGTGCGAGTTCGAGTGCGAATCCGAATTCGAAATCGAGGAAGCATGTTTACAGCGCACACAAAGAAAAAATTTAGCACTTTGAAGTTTATATTGAAAAAATATTTTTTCTAATTGATTGTAAAACAAAGAATGTATAGTTGAAAATATTAAAAATAATGACGCCCTAGTTTCCCATGAAGCTTAATTAATGTTCCATATTTTTAAAAAAGATTCTTGGTTACCATGTCGATTTTATTCGTAAATTTCATAGGAAAAATCCGTAATATTTATTTCAACGATTAACAGATCAAAATGTCATAATATTATAGCGATTCGAGTTAAAATATAATGCTCAACATTAATGAGTTCTAAATATTTGTACCTAAAAAAACAAAGGCCTGATTCTTATTATTCTTGTGATTAGAAAGAAACCATATATTCAGGTTTCATAATATTTTTTTTTTACTTCTCTCAGTGTTACACGTAATCCTACAAAAAAGGCTTTGTGCGAAATATGCGATAGTGTCTCTGAACCAATCCCCTCTCCCAAAAGGAGAGTTCAGCGAACGCAGTTGGCAATTGGAAAATATCTTGTAATTGCTTCATGTTTCACGGGTGAAACCGAGGCTCGCTTAGGCTAAGCCCGCTAAATGGAAATTCTCAGCTTAACTTTTAACTTTTACCCGGGGCACGCTCAACTCTGGCTCGTTACGAATACCGGCTACGAACTTTGCTATGTTATTTATTTTTTTTTTGTCGTCGCCCGACACGCAACGCCCGCAGCGAAAGTGTCGTGGAAATTCAAGCTTGAGCCCAGAGCGAATCAGACTCTGGCTTGAGGCGATGCAATGAAAATTTATGAGCCCACTTGTCGCATCCAGGAAGAGATAATGCTCGATTTTGGGAAGCTACGGAATGGATGCACATTTTCAATTAGATGACTTGATAGCTGAACAGGGCAACCTCGAAAATGGAAGCCACGAAAACGAAAGAATGTTGTAATAAAGATCAATTAGGTGAATAGCAGCCTCACTATTTGAAGATGTGGCCTATGATGTGGCAGAAAGATGCTCTAATTACCAAGAAACATATGTACCATATAATTCATTTTAAGGGAAGCTTACAACATTTTCAAAGAAATTGATTATCAATTTTGAATGCACTTCATTTAGATGACTAAGGCATTAATTAAGAAACAAGAAATATTGCCTTAATTACTGCGAAATTATATCATTTGCTTTGTAGTAAGCCTTGAATAACTGCAGCTGAAACAGATAAATAATTTATAACAAAATTCGTAATTGGTTGCATGCTGAAAGTTCAAACTCACTCTGGGGTTTTTCGTAATACATTGTTTTTAATGATTAATTTTCAGCAAACTCCCAAAAAACTAACGTACAACATATTAATGAATATATATCATTAATGTACAGGTTCTGCAGATAATGAGATATATTATGAAAACAGTAGATATTAAAGTCAATTTACAAAAACTTAAAAGCAAATAGTTGCTAAACGGATTATTATTTTCAAGTTTAACAAAGACATTTGGTTGCTATCAGCTATCAGTCGTTAGCTTGTTTTCTTACGTGACCAAGAGACGATTGAAAGGCAATGACATCGTTTGGCACTTAATAATCTTAACCTTAATGCGTCGTCCGATCAATCAACCGTTGGATGCGATCCGCTGATCAACTGGATTTCTTTCCAACTGTCAGTGCAGCCAGCATTAATTGTTAATTGCCTGCGAAGAAGAAACAACAGCAGAATCGACCGGCCTTGCACTTGCTGTGCATTCCATTAAACAAAAGAGACCCCGGGATCAGCTTCCTCAGCTTATGTGTAAATGCAATTTGTACACTACACCATTCTGCACACTCGCTGTTTACAAATGTATCTCATTGCTAGACCATAGTGGGTTTCTTTTTCTTGTACCATCTCGCGGTTTCTTTGTTCGCTTCGACGAGGCGATGGTGCGGCTAATGAAATAAACCATTTCCGTATTGGATGTGAATGTTCGTTTTGCACGCACCAACAAAGGCCTAAATTCGCAGAGAGATAGAGAGAACTGAAGCCTGTACGTCAGCAATAACCTGAAACCGGTAACACTGAGCTGGCCGAGATCCCAGCTCCTTGTTTTCGAGCCAGAACCAAACTCCCTAGCGGCCCACGCGCAACAAGTGTCGCCGCCGAAAAAGTATCTTGTTTCGTTCAAGATATGAACACAAAGACCGGGACAGTTGAGGTTGAAATAATAGCAGAGGGTTGGGTTTTCTTTTTAAAATAATAATTAAATAAATTAGCACTGAAAGGGTAAAAATAACAGGTTTCCTTCAGGTTTTCTTTATAAAAAATTAGCTAAATTTAAATTGATTTTATTTCCTATAAATGCTCTATTAAAACATTATCTTGGAATTATATAACAGCACTTGATCTTTAAATTCCCGTTCCGCTTTGTCTTTACAAGATGCTATTTACAGCAATTATAGGCTGCATTCTTGAGTGCTATTATTGGGACCGCAACTGTAGATGTATTCATGCCATATTAAACTCATATTCATGCTCAGATCGGGCCTCAGCTTGCAGATCTTGACTCAGTGCCTGGTTTTATTGGCTCTCTCTCTCTCTCTTCCTCTCTCTCTGCGGAACCGGTTGGCATTCGCTGCGCTTGCCTGCCTCCTCATCTCCATGATATTACGTATACGTAATATGCGATCAGATACCATCTAGTCCACGAGCACACTCAGCGTTGGAATTTAATGTTCTCTGGGTGGAATTTTCTAAGTTTACACATGGCTTGCTGGCAAAGTGTATGAAAAAATGGCTTAAATTCATTTGAAAATTGCCAAATTCGTTAGTTTTCAGGGCATTTGATGTGCGGCACCTGCCACACAGCACAACACATCATGGTGTTTGATTTTCCAGCCATGTATAGTGACTGTCTGCATTCAACCATGATTCCATTATAATTTGCGCTATTTTGCATGCCCCTGCTTTGGGTGTCTGCTATTATTTTGCTTTATTTTAGCTTAGGTTGGTTTAGTTTAGTTTAGTATAGCACTCGCCGCCTACGGTCTGGTCTGGTCTGGCTGATATACTATACGGCTTATAAGGCCAGCAGCTTTATTGTTGTGACACTCGGAGAGTCGGTTTAATTAGCATATCGGACATAGTGGACAGTGGACAGTGGGCTGAGTATTTCAATCAGAAAAGGGCAGACAATTGCAGCAGCTTTAATTGCTTTCAATTGAGTGATTTTTTCCTAAGAACAGAGTTCAAAATTCCAGAAGAACAAGCACAACTCCACACTTGAAAGAATAAGCCATACATTTTGGAAAACAAAGTGAATATAATTTAAGAAAAAGTGTAAAGAAAATATATAAAACCACATTAAAAACCTAAAACTCATCAAATTTAAAGCAACATCATTAATTCAACGCCCTCAAAATGCTATTTAAGAATAGAAATATTGTTATAAAAAGAAAAACCATATTAAGAAAATAAAAAATTACTTTTGAATCGAAGAACAAATAAAAAACATTTTCTTTTTATGGCAAATTTCTTAAATAGAAAAGAAAATATTTTATTTTTAGTGCTAGGCCTTTGAGTGAATCATTGATTGACAGGCGGTTGACCCCCAAAGATGTGACTAGATGTCGTCAATTAATCCCAACAGCGACCAGCGCCTGAGCTGCTCCAGCAGCCTGAGCAGCAGCGGTCATCCCGCCGATTTGGTAACCCTTCCCCGCCAGCGTCGACCTCGTGCCGCCGGCGAGGTGGCGGTGACCAGCGGTCAGAAAAACTCCAGTTGCGTGTATCTCAATGGGCCCGTGTCCGCCGAACCAGTGCGTCCCGCTCCCGAACCGATCTACCAAAACGAGGCGGCAGCCATAAGCCAGCGCTGCAGCCATGCCCACCAAAGGTCTCAGCTGCTGACCTCCATGCGGGTGAGCCACGAGGTGTCCCCGGAGTGTAAAGAGCATCCCACAAAAGTCATAATGACAGTGAGCACTTTCGTAGGTTCGTTCTGGTAGAAAAACTATTATTTAAAATTAATTTAATTATATATTTTAGTATTAAGATACGAAGTTAGATGTAATACAACTTTTTATAATACTATTTTTAGAGCTTTAACGTTAGTTCTAAGTTACTGAAGAGGATGCTGTCAGCATTCGCAACCTTTAAGTCTTGCCACATTTTATTTATTTGTATAAATTATTAGCTTATAATCTTAAAATTTGTATATTAAACGAACTAAAAACTTAAGTTTATGTATAAAGTAATAAAACTATAATAATTATCTTTAAATCTCCTTTAGACGACTCCGATCACTACTACGAGACGCTGTCGCCCCTTGGGAACAAACGCCATTCGACGCAGTTGCTGCGTCCTAACCAGGAAGTGGTTCGAACCAGCGGAATCCGTGCATCGCAGCGCCGCTCCAAGAATCACTCCGCCTCCGCGCTTGCCCTGGGCGAGCATGTGGTCATCTCAGATGACTACGACTCCTTTGAGACGGACAGCGATGATCCAGGCGAGGGAGAGCCGGATCAGCAACAGCGAAATGTATGTATTACTCTCTTTTGTTCCATTTAAATGATTAATTTTAAACATTTAATTCCCCATTCCAGCACAACGACAGCGGTGTGGATATGCGCAACCATCGCCTGCCAAAGCCCCCTCCTGCCCAAAACCAAGTGTACGAGTTTGTACGCAAGTTCCGGGACTTTATCTCCAGCAAGAAATCGCCAAAGGGCAGCCAGCAAAAGCTGTACGAGAACACAACTGCGGCCACGCAGTTCTACGTGGAAAGTGGCAAGCGGCCAGCGGAGGTAAGGGAGTACGAGAACACAGAGTACGGACCGGAAAGGAATACCACGACCACGAACCCGCACCAAGAGCTGCCGCCAGTGATGAGAGCCAAGCAGAAGAACGGCAAGAGTCTGCGTTCCCGTATTCGCAAGAGCTTGGTTGGATCCAGCTTCGACACCAAGCACCTGGACTCACTAGCGGAAACACGAAGCACTTTTTATGTGGAGGACCCCGAGGGATTGCTGCCGACCTTGCAGTTGCCCTCCCCCGAGATCCATGGGTCTGGGGAACTGGATTCTGGTTTCTGTGAGAAGGCCTGCACACCCACAGCCGAGTCGCAAAAGTTTTCCACAGTAGCCCGCAAAGCCAAGAAGGAGGCGAAGGCCACCAGGCGTCGCACCACCATAGGACTGCGTCCCCATGATCCACCGCCCCCACCTCCGCCACCAATTGGAGGCAGTAAGACACCCACAGATACGGAGCTGCGAGAGCAGGAGCCTGGACAGACCACCTCATGGTATGCTGAGTGTGGGGTCTTCAAGCAGGCCAGTAATTCGCTCAATTCTCCGCGGGGCGACGAGCCAGTCACACCCACACCCAGTGCCGGAGGCATTAGCTCCTGGTACGCAGAGTCGGGTCTTTACCAAACCAGCGGTATATCCGTGGCCAGCTCCAGCGGCAGCTCCGGCGTCTCCACAGGCAACGAGGCTGGTCTGGGCGACGAACTGAACCCGGAGCCGCACAGCCTGTTCTCCAACGAGCCCCTCTATCAGATGTACAGCGCCGCCAAGCTGGAGGTGAGTTCTTAAACCTTTAAGAAAGAAACCATTAAAATTCATGAATCCACTTTCAGTCCATCACACGTGACCTGGAGGCGCACGAGGGCTCTGCGGATGGCTATGAGGAGATTGGCCAACATGCCAAGCAGAAGACGGAGCCGCTGGCGAAGCCGCGACCCACCGCCTTGCAGCTGGTGGAGCCCAAAAACGGACCTTCCCGCACTCTGTGGAGCGAGATCCCCGAGGTCATTCAATCCTGCATTCTGCGTGAGTATTTACATAACATACCTTATCATAATTATTATTTCACAATATTCTAAATTACAGCCACCTTGACCAGCCGGGAGCGCAGTCTGCAGGAGGCCAAGTTCGAGATCATCACCTCGGAGGCCAGCTACCTAAAGTCACTGAACCTGCTGCGCCGCCACTTTATGAACCACAGCGCCTTCGTGGATACTTCCGTGCTGAGTGGGCGGGATCGGAAGGCGCTCTTCTCCTACATTGTGCCCGTGCACGAGTGCTCGGAGCGACTGCTTACCGAGCTGGAGGCCTGCTGGCAGGACAACATTATGCTCCTGGGGCTAAGCCGCTGCATCTACGAGATTGCCGAGCGGCATTTTCACGTATACGTGGCCTTCTGTGAGCATCAGGGAAGGATGGATAGGACGCTCCGTCGCCTGAAAGAGTCCAAGGAGTCGAGTGCCTTCCAACAGCACTTGGAGCGGCTGGAGCAGAGTCCCAGCTGTTGCGGCCTCAACCTGCACTCGTTCTTGATGCTGCCCATGCAGCGCATTACCCGGCTGCCGCTCCTCATCGATGCGGTGTTCAGCAAAGAGTCGCCGCTGAACCGCGAGGAGTACGAAAGCTGGAAGCTGACGCTGGCCCTGGTCCAGAAAATAGTGGCACAGTGCAATGAGGCGGCCAATCGCTGGGAGCAGGCCTACGAGCTGGAGAGAATCGCCCGCCAGCTGGAATTCCCCTCGCACATCCGTGCTCTTGCCATTGCTCCGATGGGCGTGCCGCGGGCGGGTGCCAAGCCACGCTTCCTGGTCAAGCGGGGTGAACTCACCCATTTGATTTGGCGCGGCGAGGACGCCAAGCTGACCTTTGGCAAGCGCCTGACCAAGGCTAGTATCTACGCCTTTCTCTTCTCGGATCTGCTGGTGCTCTGCAAGCGGCGTGGCGAGTCATACTTCACAGTCTTTGACTATTGCCCGCGGAGCATGCTGACCCTGGCCGCTGGCGACACGCTGCCCACCAAGGACCTCAAGGATCAGGCCGGCAAGAACCTCATTCTGATGACGCTGCTGGAGAACTGCGAACGCAAGACTGTCGAGCTGGTATGTTTAACTCTAGACCTTTCCCTAAATGGAAACTAATATCTGTATTCCTTAGCTGCTGTCCTGCCCATCGGTGTCCGACCAGCAGCGCTGGCTGCAGGCCATGCGACCGCCCGAGGCGGAGACACCCGGCGAGAAGCTCTACGAGTCCTGGGACTGTCCTCAGGTGGTGGCAAAGCACAGCTACGAGTCCGACGAGCCGGATGTCCTTCAGCTGGAGCTGGGCGATGTCGTCAACGTTTCCCGCAAGCTGCCTGATGGTAAGAGATGCCTTTCTAAATATCCAAAACAAACACCTAATCTTCCTTGATTCCTTGCAGGCTGGTACCAGGGTGAAAGGATTCGTGATGGCGCCGTCGGCTGGTTCCCAGGAAGCTACACCGAGGAGCTGAACTCGGCGCACGTCCGCGCCCGCAACCTTAAGCAGCGGCACCGCCTGCTCACCTTCACGGCCACTTATCTGGAGGCGCAGAAGAGCAAGTGACCTGGCCAGAGGCCAAGGACCAGTCTTGAGCTGAGCAGGCGAGCAACGCCAACCATATATAGTCCGAAAACCAACTCTAAGTGAACTACCATATACCATTATATATATATACACTTTAGGAAATGTGATAATTATTTAATTCGATGTCGAAGCTGATGAAACGGGAATCTTAACAATTCTTCCCCTAGCGACTAAGCCATAGCGAGTAGTTGTATTTATGTATAATTGTGTGTTGATACGTAAGTGAATTCTCGATAAACAAATAAAAAACTAAAGGAAAGAAATAAAAGATCACCAAGTGTGGAAATATTATTAAATTATTTTGACTATAATGTTTTGTTTAAGGTTTTAAGAGTTCAGTTGACCCAATATAGAGCAGTGATTCATAAGAATTGTAAATGATTGGGAACGGGATTACCAAAGTTTACGAGTAAATACTTTATTTTATAATAATTAATAAACTATAAATAAATATTATTATAAAATACATTCCTATTTCATAAGGCGCTCACAGATATAACAATGCTTAAGTGTGCAATCCTGGACAAACATTTTACTTCTATACATTTCATGGCAATGTTCCACTCCGCTTGAATTGTTTGGTTCGCAGGGATACCAAAGGTATGATGCCACTGGCTTTCCACTTGGAAGCCAAACATGGCGACCTAGAGCCATAAAGTCATTGCCAGAGGTCCAGTAGTGATTTGAGTCTTGCTGATCATCTAGATATCTTTTGATAGCATGTGACGCGCAGACGCGCACAAATATATACGTAAGATATAAAATAAGGAATACACAATAGAAAACAACGAATATAGAATATGGAATAGATTTGAATTGAATGCGCGCGCGCGCCATGATCGCGCCCAAATGGTCACACTGGCCCAGGAAGGGCCTGGCCACACTATTATGGCAAAATATCTTCGGGTGCGGCGGTCACACTCGACCCTGCCAGAGCCCGATATAAGGCGAGCCTCAGCCCTTGGAAAGCATTCAGTTTTCGGCCAGCGATCGGCCAAGTCCTCTACCAGGAGCTAAGGGGAAGCCAACAGGAAGGAGTCACCCAAGGAGCACGGTTAAGTAAGGTATATTGGTAAGCGGTAACCCATAGTCGGACCCCGACCATATCTTACGTCTATAACTTGTGGAAGACCTTAGGGCCTCTCTGTACGTCTCAATATTGGAAGACCTAAGGGCCTCCCTATAAGTCTCTATTTATCTCGGTAGACCTTAGGGCCTCCGTGCACGTCTCAAACTTAGAAGACCTGAGGGCCTCTAAAACCATCTCTCTTGTAGAAGACCTTAGGGCCTCTAACAACTTCTCAATCTTAGAAGACCTTAGGGCCTCTACCACCCTCTCAAACTTAGAAGACCTTAGGGCCTCTACAAACTTCCCAATCTTAGATGACCTTAGGGCCTCTAAAAAAACTTCTCTCTTTTAGAAGACCTTAGGGCCTCTACAAACTTAGAAGACCTTAGGGCCTCTACAAACTTAGAAGACCTTAGGGCCTCTACAAACTTCTCAATCTTAGAAGACCTTAGGGCCTCTAAACAACCTCTCATCTTAGAAGACCTTAGGGCCTCTACAAACTTCTCATCTTAGAAGACCTTAGGGCCTCTACAAACTTCTCATCTTAGAAGACCTTAGGGCCTCTACAAACTTCTCCATCTTAGAAGACCTTAGGGCCTCTACAAACTTCTAAAGACTGGAAGACCTTAGGGACTCCACAAATCTGCTCGCTAACTGGAAGATCTCAGGGTCTCCGCTAACCAGTTATTCCACTAACTGGCAGACCTGAGGGCCTCCACCAGCTATTCTCACTCTAGGAGATCTGAGGGGCATCCGCGCACCGGCGTTTCACCGACACTGTCGACCCGAGCGGGAAGGATGTACCTGACCCTGAAGTGCGGCGTGCCAGAGCGACTACCCACGGCAGCAGACTAAATCCAATCTTTTTAACACTTGTAATGTTGGAGGCAATAAACAGATAATTATAGTTACGGCATATTTCTCGGCGTTCTACTCTGGGACCGGGTCGGCATCTCTTTCAGCAACCACCTCAGACAACAAATAAATTTCTGAGACGAACCCTGGCCATCCTTGAGCCCCGAGGAATGACCTAACCGTCACAAGCATTATACTTATTTATGGTATTGAAGGCGATCAAATTATAGCCCATGAACTCGCAGGGTTTACGCGCTCCGTACCAATGCCTCGGCTTAGTGTTTTCAATATAATACATTGTGTCGTCGATATAATGTAGAGTGGAAGATACTACAGAAAGGGAAATGGTTATATAGACTAATGCTTAACAAAAGGAACCCTTTTGAATTATAAGAATAAGAACAGGATCTCTTACCATTTGGACTATTACTTGCTCCTGATAAATGAAGCAGGCCCAAGAAGAATCCACTGCACAGTTTAAGCATTTTGTAAAGACTATTTTTGGTTCTTCTTAAAATGATACCCTTTTATACTTGGGAATTCTTCAATTAAATATTTATTTATTGCTTTAACAGATAAAATCATAAGTACCCTTTAAAGTCAATGAACTTGGCCTCTATCTTATCTTAAAACTACTCGGCCGTGGGGACTTGGCGGAAGAATGCGGAAAATTTGCATAATAATGCAAAGAACAATGAGAAAATTGCATAATTTCCTGCGCAAAATAAAGTTTATTTTATACTGAAATAAGAAGAAAATAAATAGAAAATAGTTGTATTTTTATGGTTTTTTATTCATTGCAATCTGGTTTCCTTTAAATTGTTAAGGAGTCAAGTTGAGCTCACATACATAAAAATACTTGACCGTACAAGGCTCATCATTCATTTTATAGGTACCCCTATATCTGAATGAGTCGCAATGCTCCTGTCCGTTCTTATTGTCTGGCTGTGAGACACCCCAAAGCTCCGATGGAACGGAAATACCATTTGGAAACCATGCATGATGCCCAAGATGTATAAAGTCAGTTCCAGATGTCCAGTAGCCTTTGGTCGCTCCCGTAGCATCCATAAACCGGTTAATTGCGTTGAATTCCTCTATTGTCTCAAACGAAATGAGGTTGAAGCCCATGCTTTCGCAGGATTTACGGGCCACATACCAATTCTCACTCCTTTCGTCAATATAATATAATGAGTTGCCATTATGTAATAGATATTTAGAAGTTACATTCACAAGTTTATAGGAGTCTAAAAGATGAAAATGATTTTAGTTATTATTATATGTAAGTTAGGTAACTCACCTTTACTGGCTTCAGATAGATAACTCAGGCTCAGAAGGACCACAAGTAGACTGCACACTCTAAACATCTTCCCAAATGTGTTTTGGTTCCTTTTAAAATGTTCCGCCTTATATACCCTGGTAAATTTGTATCGCCTATAAATGCGCTTGAGTCAACAGATACTAATTCAATCAATCACAAGTACACTCTCTAAGCATTTTGTAAATAATAACTTTTTAATGTGTTATAGATAATATTTGAATTGACTTAAACCAAGAGCCTATACGACAGGCAGATGGCAAGACCAATATACATACATACATATAATCATACTTCACAACGTTGGAAAATTCCGTAGAAAAATTATATATACTAGAGCTAGGAAGAAATTAATTCAAATACATCGATTATTTTCAATATCTCAGAAAATAACATCGATTAAATGAAAACCACAAATCCAATATAAAACAACACACATTTTATAAACTAAATAAAGCAAAATAAAGGTTTAATAAAAAACAATTTGTATTAACCACTAGTTTTTGCAGGAAAAAAACGATCCTATTTGCAGTTTTAGGTACATCGATAGTTTCAAAACCTATTCAGAGCATCGACCAAAATAAATAGAATCGAGGAATTCGATTTAAAAATGATTTTTTTGCGCTCTGATATATACATAGGTGAAATAAAATAAAAGGAATACAAATATATAATTTTCCACTCGTTTCCATAATAATTTATGGTATCTCCTCCATTTTGTAGACATTTCTAGACACTGGCTCCCAAAAGTATGCCCAATTGTTGATGCACACTTCTGGTAAAAATGTAAAAAACAATTTTACATAACTTTCTTATTTGTGGAATCTAAAAAGGTAACCTGTACACTTTAAAAGTTTCAGTCATTTTAATTAAATTGTTGATGTACATTTAATAACATTTTTGCATTTGCCCTTTAATTTTTAAATAAGTAATATCTGTGCTTGGGTATCTAAATCGATAAGTAAAGAAATAGCTTTCATTCAAATGTGAAAACTGAAAGGTCTGTAACAAAGATTCAGTGTCCCTTTTTCGAAAGTGAAAACAGGAGCAAGTCTGAATTGCACTCCAATTGTGGTCCTAATCAAGGCTTTAGTAAAGTATATAGAGAGAAAAAGTCCGATAAGTCAGATCTACAAAAATAATAATAAATTATAATAGCTAAAAATAACGGAAGCATTTGTATATCCCATTCTTAAATATCAAACAATTCCGAATTTAAACCCAATAAATGAAACACACCACTCGCAAATTTGTATTTTCAGTTTTTGTTTATATTCTTCTTTGCAAAAATATATACACATTTTGTCTGCATATCCTCGAGGTACTTCCTCGAATGCTCTTTAACTTACTTTAGTGGCTGCACTCCTTCCCTAGGCATATTGTAAATGTATACAATTAATTCTATGATTATATTACGGCTGTCATAAATTATTAAATCTAAATCAAGCACTACAAAATTGGGGGGAGGGGGCGGGGCAAGATATGTTTTTGGCGTCCGATCGATCCGATAGCAGCGCCCCGTCGAGTGCTGCTAAGCCGGCCATCGCCAGCGCAATCTGACCCAAATAATTTACAATACTTCTTCATGGGAGCGTGATGAGTGGATGTGGTAAATTTCGATGAATCGATGAAGTGGTCTGGTTCGAGGACTAAGGCTAAGCTATGGCTCACTAACGTATCCTGCATTAAGGCGCTAGATTCACTCACGTCTATAAATATATATCACAAAATCAGTGAAATGAAAATTCGCTGGAGTATTTGCATGTTTCGCTTTTTGGATGATGCCTTGATGAGAGCAGAGGCTGATTGAAGGGGTCTTCAGCTGGCGGCGACTGTTACCTGTCACCTGAAGCTGATGCCGCACTTGCGGCTGATCTTGGGCGTGTGTATATAGGCGATGGACAGCAGCAGCGGCACATCGTTCTCGGACAGCTGCAGCGGATTGGTGATATCGCTCAGCCGGCAGGGATCTGTTTCCAACAGGAAGGCGGCCAGGGTCTCCGATTGCAGATAGATCTCCTGCAACTTGGACTCCAGAAACGACAGGCACTGCAAAAGAAATTAGGAAAGTTATTGGAAAAGTCTCTATAAGATTCAGATCAAGGAGTATGCACCTCATAGGCGGGTATGCCACCGGCATGCATGGCCTGCACGGTTTCCAACATGCTGGACACCAGCTGTGACATTCCCACCGGCGAGCTCTGGCCACCGGCATACGGAAACTGCTGCGTTTGCGACGATATGAGCCGCACATCCCACTTGTCCATGTCCGCCACAATGGCTATATTCTCCGCCGGCTGTGAGATGAGCGAGGCAGAGCGCGCGGCCAAAGCCAGATCCTCACGCAGATGCATTTCCCATTTATTGGGCGGAGCACAAGTGCCCTGGAAAATGAGGAATATCAATTATAATAGTCTGGTTAGAGGCTTGCAAAGATCTGTACACCAACCTGGAGTACCATGTCGGAGACATAGTGATCGCTGACGCTCAGCAGCAGCGAGGGAATGAAGCCGGCTCGCAGTTGTTCGCCCGGCGAGTCGTCGTCCTGCGGCAACTCCTTCACACCCGGAACGGGCAACTTCAGCAGCTGCTGGGTGACATTAACCGCCGCACACTTGGCGGCCACCGAGGACACTGAGCTGCGCCCAGAGGGCACCCGCTTGGGCTGCTGCTTACGCATGTACGTGGTCTGCGGTGTCGTCGGAATCAGTGGCTCGGCCGACTTGAGGGTGTCAATGGAGGCCGCCGAGTTCACCGACTGTAGGACCTTGGAGCTGGTCACATTCTGATTGTAGCAGTGCACCTCGTCGGTTTCAAACTCCAGCTCGGTGGCGTTGGAGGGTGTCTGGTTCCAGGTGGCCGAGGAGCTGAGCCCGCCACCGCCACTGCTGCAGACCACACAGCGATCCGTGCTGGTGGTGGTGGTGGCCGTGGGAGTTACAGGCGTCGGCGGGGCGGCTGTGGAGCTACTACTGGCCGCCAAGGTGGCCGTACTGTCACTGCCCTTGAGAGCTGCCGCCGCCTCGCTGGCCTCCAGCTTGGTGGCCTTGTCCATGAGCAAATCGTAGTTGGACATCACCAGGTTCTTGCTCTTCATGTAGTTGGTAGCAATCTGCGGATACTGCTCAAAGTTGAACTTCATGCCCGAGTGCTTGCTCCTGTCGTGGGTGCGCTGATGCTGGGCGCAGAGCAACAGGCCAGGTTTGGTGTCGTGGTCCCCACTGAGATCTTCGCTGCTCTTCTTTAGATTGACCAGCGGCTCGTTGTCGCCGAGGACAAAGACAACGCCATTGCCATTGTCAACGGCTGAGGTTTGCCGGCAAATGCCATGCTCACGCTCGATCAGCTTGTGGCAGTGGTCAAAGTGGATCTGCTCCTCCAGACTTACGTTCTCCTTGATGGGCTCGATGCCCCAGGTCATGCGATCGCTCTTGCCCATGCTGTTCTGGGTGATGAGATCCGAAAGGGACAGATGCGAGGCCCTTCTCTCGTGGCTCAGTGGCTCAAAGTCAGTGGGTCCGCCGCCCGCCTTGATCAGCGGCTGGTCGCCCTCTACGGAATAGCTGCTGCAGCGGCGCTCCAGCTTACGATTGATAATCCGGATGCCCTGCTGCAGCTTGGCCAGATCACTGAGACTGAGTCCCTCTTTAACCCCCGCCACTGGCACCATGTTCCAGAAGAAGTTCTTCTTCGGCGGCGCCTCCACGTTGTTGTCCTCGATAAACTCGATGGCCTCGATGGCCCCGTCATCGACGGAGCCTGTGCCCACAGAGCCAGTGGTGCCGCTCGACTGCTCCTCCTCCATGCACAGCTCCACGTTATCTGGCGTGGTCACTGTCAAACGGATCCGGCCGTCCTTGCCAGTGCGAAAATACTGCTGCGCCTGGCGGGCCAGCAGCGTCTTCTTGTCAATGCCCGTGTCCATCAGGTAGTTGCCAATTCGCAGCTCCTGCTGCACAAAATGCGAATCCCGGAAGGCCAGCACTGTGGGAATCTCGTTCTTCTTCAGCGTCTGCATGCCATCCCTGGCATCTATGGATCCCGGATCCATCCCATCGCGATTCAAATCGCTGTCATCATCCTCGCCGTAGCCATTCAGTTCGCCATCCTCGTCGTCCGCATCATCGGCAATGGCATTCAGATTCTGCTTGCAGGTGGCCGCCCTGCTCAGTCCCCGCATCTGCGTCGGAGGACTTTTGTGCCGCTCCTGACCGGCACCAGTCTGACTTTGGCTCTGGCCTTGCGCCACAACCAGATCGTTGATGAGTTGCTTGTTGAAGTCCTCTCGCTTGGCCGCTCGACGCACCTCGCTGCAGCGTATGAAGTAGGTGAGCACGTTAAGCAGCTTCTCCACCCAGAGCTTCTCCGCTCCGCAAACAATGGTGCGCGCCAGCTTTGGGGGCATGCCGATGGCGCCATACAAGTCGCCCAGTTGGGCCCACAAAGCGTTGTACGGATGCTTCTGGGCCACCTGGATAAGCTTGGCCCGCTGCTCAATGGCAGCCGCCGAGGCGGAGGACTCCGATCGCCTGGAGCCGGCGCTATTGAAGGCGGAAACGGTGGCCACCCAGCCCAGGTGATGCGTGAGAATCCCCGTCAGCATGGTGCTGATGAAGCTGCAAGCGGAATAATGTATAAATATAAGTAATCATTTAATACTGCTTCTATTTTGAGAATTTAACTTACAAATTAGAGTCCTTGGTGTCAGCAAAAGAGAGCAGGTCGCACAGCTCCTTGATGAACCTCTCGGCCACAGTCTTGGAGTACTTGCTGCCGCTGGTGGTGATGCTGAGCCAGACGGGCGTCTTGATGCGCGGAGCGGTGAAGAGATCGCTGAACCACTGTTGCGTATCCTGCCACGCCTGGAACATGATTTGCAGGAAGTTCTTGTGATTGATGTACGCATGCTCTGTGCTGGCCCTCAGTCGGCTGAGCATGGACTCCAGCAGGGCAATATGCTCGCTGCAGAACAGCTCCATCTCCTCCTCGAAGGACTCGCTCATCGAGATGCACACGGCCAGTCCCAGCTTGGCCCTGCGACGCATGTTGGCCTGTCGCCGGCCGATTTCCGGATTGCTACGCGACTCGTTCGCACTGTAGCTGGCGCGCCTGTACTGTGGCGGAGCCATGCCACCGCCCTCGCTGCCGCCGCTGCCATTGCCTCCTCCAGCTCCACCACCACCACCTCCGCCTGAAGCCATCGCATAATTGTCGCTTAGGAAGCCGATAAAATCGTTCTTGGAATGCTCGTTCTCAAAGGAGGTGCGCAAATTGCGTGAGATTCGTCGCTGCAGGCAGCCATCGCTGGCAAATCCGTCCAGGTAAGGCGAGGAGCCCGAGTAGCAGGCCGAGTCAACGCTGAGCTTCCTCATCGCATCCGACTGGTCGGAGAGCACGCTCCCCAAGCTGCTGCGCGTGGAAGAGTACTGATAGGACCACTGATCCACGCCAGCTCCGCTGCCACTCCCGCTGGCCGAATATCCCGAGTCTGTGGCCGTGCTGTATGTGGAGGAGTAGCGCGGCCCACTCGAGTCGATCGAATGAATCGATAGCGACTGCTGGTCCGCCGGTGCTGCGGGTACATCCAGCGGTGGCGTCAAGCTCATCTGACGGCCCACACTCACGCTGAACGGCATCGAGAACGAGTTCATCGAAAGACCGTCCATGGAGCCGAGTTCGCTGCATATTGAGCTGCGCGGCGTCGCCAGGCTGTTCATGGAGAGCGTGGAGTAGGGCGAATGGCCGGAACCCCCGGAACCACTGCTGGTGGGCGTCAGGTAGACCTGAGAGCACAGTATCCTCGCCGGCTCCGGCAGCCAGTGTACCTTGAGGGCCGTTCCGCAAAAGGACATGGGCAGGGAGCCAAACACCATCTCGCCCAGCGGTGTGATGTCCGCTCCAGAGGGTCGATTGTGCTGGAAAAACACATGGCAATGTTTAACTTATTTATCCACAGTTACGCTGCTAGGGAACAAATTGATTAGAGACGAGGGATGACTCACCTTGTAGCCATACTCCGCGCACACCTCGATGAAGTTGCTGCCGTTGGTGGAATGTGCCTTGGCCTGAATCTTGCCATTCTGCTGCAGCGACGTGTACTTTTCATTTTTAAGGAACTTTCCACCGCCACTCGTCGTGGATGATGATGAGGATGCTGCCGATGCTGAGGTGGCCGATGAGTCCCTGTGGGTCACCTTCTGCAGGGCATTTGAGTCGAAGAGTAGGCGCCGACTGTCATCCTCTTTGTAGAGCAAAACTCGCACCTGGCTGCCCTCGAAGGGGAAACGACTGCAACAAACGGGGAAAAGTTGAGGTAAAAATTAATTTTTGATCTTTATGGAAGGGTAGTAAATGAGTCATAAATAGGATATTTATCTTTATAGTTTTAGAGATATATTTATCTTTATGGAAAGGCAATAAATATTGTGTGTCTATATTTGGAAAAGTTTAAAGGTTAAACAATAAGGTAATTTCACTTAAAAGTCTTTGGCTATTTGTGACCCAAATTTTTTGAATTGGACATCACATGTTCTGCCGGATATAATAATCATAATTCCCCCATACTCGTAGTTTTTTTTGTGTGTCTTATTTTGCCTTGCCACACCTTCAAATCGAAATATCAGAGTCCCGCTCGAAGGTCATTAAAGTGCCACCCTCGCCACATACATTTTCCCACAGCAGGCCAGACCAGACAGATGAGGTCCATTATAATGCGCACATCTCGAACAGCGCTCTTATTCTCGATTCTGTTCATTGTCGCCGATAAAATGGCAAATGCTATGCTCTATATATAGCGACCCTAGCGGTTGGCACGTGACGATTACTCATGCGCCCCCCTACGTTTGAATAGTGTTTGTCGTGAAATCTTTTACATTCAGAAACTAAAAGATAAGGCCGCTGAAATGTACTAGCGGCTGACCTTTGAACTCGACGAAATGCGAAGAGTGAAGGTGTCACTAGTCACATGACGGCTGGCGAACGCGAATGTTAAATTAAGGCAATTTATTTTCGTCGGTTCTATAATTGGGTGATCCAAAGTAGACATATACATTAGAAGTGAGGTACATACACCATTGCTTTCGTATATTATAAACGGATTTCCATGGAATTACTTAGGGTGCGTGAATAGGTATTTCGCAACGACATTAAATATAGAATACTTAGCAAATGGAGAAGAGAATTAATGCAATTTCGTACAGAGCTCATAAAATCGGCCCAACCCAAAAAAAAAATAAAGAACTTAAATGAATTGGTCTTCCTCTTAAGAGGCTTCAGGAACTCTTTTGCAACTGTTGTAGTCGTTTTGCTTGTACATTGCAGGCTAAGCTCGGAAGAGATATTGATGAAAAGCACCCTTTCGATTCCTGTATTAACTAAGAGACGATCTTTGAGTGAAACAAAACCCCTATTCTTATGACAATTTAGGTTTGATACCTTAGTAGTAGTGTTTCCCAAAGTAACACTTAAACTCCAGTACATCATCATCTTATAACTAGTTCCTGTTAAAGTTTCTCCTTCCCTACACCCATATCCACTCCGAAATCCACTTTACCCCCGAGATTGCCCGTTGGCAGCGCTCGTGAAACAGATTTGAGCTAATTTATTTTTAGTGCGTTTATAAACGGCTTGTCTAAGTAGCGCTAACTTTGAAAAGGCGCTCTCGTGAAATTAGCGCTATAATTAACAATTAACCCAAACTGATGATAGTCATTGGCGGTACCTGGGGGCGGGGTTAACTGGTAGGGGGAGTGGGCCAACTAGTTTTAGAGCTTAATAAATATTTTACAGCCCAGCGATAAGAAGGGGGACCCCGAACAACACCGCACGCACAGAGATTATAGTGGCGGTGTTTTTCGGTTTTTGGGGCTGGTCACGAGTTCTGGTCCGGAATAATACATATAATATCCACTATAAGGCCAGACTTGACCGGCGGCGTCGGCGGTTCGTTTGTTCTAACCGAGTTGACCAATGTCCAGCTCTTCGCGGATCAGGTCAGATTTATGGGCCGTGCTTACTTGTATTTAAAGGGCGGCGTATGCATGCGGCGACAAAGGGTAATTCCACCTGCAGCCTCGCGATAGCGCCAACTGTCTGTTTGGAAGGTAATGCGGCACGGTTGCACTTCTCTAACTCGACCTTGCCCAACTTAAAAATTCCTGTAACTGGAAACAAGTAAGAACCAAACAAAAATCACTAAAAATTTACATTTTTGGAACTCGAAGGGGTTTTTGAAAATAGAATAGACTGCCTTTTGTTATAAATAATACAAACGAGTTTTCAATTACAAATGTTATTTAAAAATTATTGGAATATTAAAAACAAAATATATAAAAATAAGTTATTTTTAATTTCTAGTTTATTTGTGTTTATTGTTAAGCTAAAAAATTAAATGGGAAATTCAAAATAAAACTTTTCACAAGATCATTAAATAGGGTTTCCTTTCTAATTACATTTCACAATTTACAAATAAAAAGCTGCTAAATTCTGAAAAGTCATAACTGAATCACCAATTTAAAGCCTAATTCACATAGTTTATACGCACGCTTGCCAATAAAAAGGTAAACAATTTCATTATTTACTAACAAATAAGTCATAACGACTACTATAATTGATTAGTAGTATTAGTACCGCTCATTATATTATATATTTTTTACACAAACAGTAAACAGGGTAGAGATGTGTGTATGTCAATAATATTATTTTGCCAAACGAACGAAATTATTAGTTATTTTTTTATATAAATATAAATTAGATATATTTAAAATTCTATTATTATATTTTAACTTTAATTTAAGAGTTGCAGAAATTGGTTTTGATTTTCCAATAAAAATAAATTTTTAATTTAAAATTTTCTTTTTCATTTGCTGATTTTGTGTAGTAAATTTTTTTTCTAAATTGTAATTTGAATATTTATTATTATTATTTGTTGATGTTAAAATTAATTTTATTAAAAAAAAGGAGACCAAATTATGGATTTTATTTATACTTAACTGAAAATTCGTCATTGTTCGATTATATAAAATGGCAGCTGTTTTAAGTTTTATTTCAACACTCATATTTTTCCATTTTAGAGTTAAGTCAGCCCTAAAATACACATGTATTATTTAAATTACATTTTCTTGAAATTTACATTTATTTTATTTTGTTTAATTTCATATTTTCTATTTCCCTAGCTCGAGTTAGAGAAGTTTGAACTGTAACATTTACCGTTGGGCCCCCGATTAGCACGGACGAACAACGACGCGTCGATATCTTTATGGCCGCGATGCTAGTCAGCAAATGAAGTTCAAGGCGTTCGCGATCGCACTGGGAACTGGGGGAACTCGGAGCTCGGTAACTCGGGAGCTCGGGCACTGGAAGGGGGGACAGGGTACGGAATACCCAGGTCCCGTGAGGCAACAGCGCCAGAGCGAGACGAACGGCGAACGACGACGACGAGCTGGCTCACTCGGTATATGCATTATAATAAGGCCTGGCCAGCCAGGCGGGCCAATCGATATGGGCTCGTCGTATTTGTAGTACGAGGTAGTACGCTGAAAGACCCATGCAGATAATACGAGCAGCGATCCTAAACGAGGCGACTTCGGGGCCGCGACATGGGGCATCCAATTTGGAGCGCCGCTCACATGATTCGTCGGATCCGAATCGATCCGATCCCATCCAACCCAGCCATCCCGTCCAGCTGTGAACCCAAAACCGAGCATAAACGAACCGAACCCGAACACGAACCCGAGGCGATGTCGGACGAGCATCATGTGGCCACCATTTGTTGCTTGTCACAGACTGATGTGTTAATATGTTGTTTAAAAATTAACAAAAAATAAAGAAAAAGAAAAAAAACACAAACACAAATAAACATAGAAAGAGAAAGGAAGGAATATCTTGGGCAAAAGTCAAGAGACAACGATGAATGATTGTTTGATGGATTAGTTGAAAGACATATGGCCAAAATTGAATACCAACACTCAAGGGGTTCTTCAGATGGTTTTTGATTTGTGCCGAAGGTTAAATGCTCTAGGGGAGCCAATTTAACAGGTGATTTCCAGGTTTGAATTTTTTATTTACAGTTTTTAATTTGTTTGTAGAAAACCCGCAGTTTGATTCGCATTTGGTTTCAAACGGTTTAATAAATTTGCTATAAAATTTTTAACCCTATTAAATTTTGGTGTATAAAATACTGTATACATATGTATGTACATCAATGAAAATATTAATAACCAAAAATGTATCTAACTTATTGCATATTAATTGTAGCTTGTCCTTAAAATTCCCAAGTGGTTCTGATCTCTGGATGCCCTAATGTTAGGATTGCCTTTATAAACTAAATAACTTATGCCTTAATGATTTTTAAGTTTTAAAAAATAAAACATACTTTTGAATGTTAGATCTTCAGAACTTTAAAATAAATTAAATTAGTTTATTTTGGCTAACTCTAATTGTAATAATTAAATATTGTAAATAATTTAACTTGTAAAAATAAATGAAACCCGTTTTTTGTACGCTTTCGTCATGCTCAATTTTAGCGTAGCAGTGCAGAAACTAAAATACTTGTTGCTTTTCGCGGTAGAGTGCAGCCATACGCCTGCCGGCTAAATGGACTTTGTCAGCAGCCCTGATCGCCGATGGGGGGAATGACTACGTGAGCATATGGGGCTAAAAGTCAGAAGGCACACACGACGTTCTTGGCTGCTGACCTGGCCAAGTCGGTGGGCATACAGAGGGGAGAGATCTGCGCGAAAACAATTATCGGACGGCTGCTAAGTTGGCTTATCGCTCGAAGAGCAGGCAGTCAGCGGAATATCGGCAGCGTTGTTTATTCTACTATTTTTTTTGCTTTCGGCTTTTATTTTTATTATTTCCCTGGGACGGGTGGAGCGGACGGGGCACTCGCCGGGATCACATGCTTTTTCAGCTACGCAAGCAAAACAAAAGCGAGCCACAGCCAAACAATATTGAGCAAATAAATACGTATACATGCATACATAATGAGCAGAGGAGGCACTCACTCGCCCCGATCCCACAGAGCTCTCTTTCGCCGCGGCTCTGCACTATATTTTGATTGATTCGGTCAGGTGTATTTATAGGCGGGGATGTGCGGCCGAGGGCCACTCGAGTGGGTGACGGGCGTTATCGGTCTTTGCCTGGATTATGTTTTGATTAGCCCTCGGATACTCCGCCACTCCGCGCCACTGATTGATATGGGGAAGTCACTCTGTATCGATATGCCCAGACAGTTCCACAAACAAAGACGACGCGTTGAAGGCGCACAATTGTAATCAAATCAGCAT